TTTTCCCTGTGGTATAAAAATATGTGGACCTTGGCCATCACTGAAAAAATAATACATAACCTATGTGTTGCTAGGAGTATTGAGAACCCAGAACAATTTCACACCATCTGTGGGACTTTATTTCATACACCTTGAACTTGCATATACAAAAGTCTCTATCCTACTCACGGAATTTGGTTATTTTGACAATCTCCTGTGTACCAACTGTTTCTTATTAAGATAATATCCAGCCTCTTGCACTGCCCCTATGTCTTTCCCCCCCTCTGTTGTTTTCTTTGCATTGCCTGCTATATTTCAACAAAACCTATAAAAATGGTGGTGTTAGGAGAAGCGGTTTGGATTTGTTAGGCCCTGAGGAATGTTTTGGAGCAGGCCAGGCCTGTACAAATGGGACAGGCTCTGCTTGAACCAGGATGGAACCAGACTGTTGGCACTTAAAATAAAAAAGGTTACAGAGCAGTGTTTACATTGCATCTAAATTGCAGTAGGGTGGGAAAACTTTGTCCTCAAACTGAAGGCATTGTTCTGTGAACATGCTAACATGATTTATAGCTAGCTTTGTACAAGACATCAGGGTTAATAGCAGACACTAACAGTTACCTCAATTCAGAAAAGGAAGCTCACATGAAGGAGCAGGCTTCCATACACATTGCTGAACACTTTGTTCAGGAAGTGTTAATCAGATTGGTTCCTTCAAAAATGTGACCAAACAAAATCCTTGAGCATCCCTAACAAGAAAAAGTAGCTTTTAATACAGGTAAATAAAACAACAACAGGAAGACTGGAAGATTGTAAACCAATTTGCACATTAGAAGGAAGAGGAGGAGGAGGTCCTGAAGTGAATTTTCTAACAGATAGCTGAAGTCAGGAGGATGGAGCTATATTTTACAGCTAAGACGGTCTATTGATTTTAGCCACCAGCTTCACTAATCAGAGACAGATGCTAAGTATCTAAGTGCATGAGAAAGGCCAACTGTGAGGGTTGAAAATGGGGAATGTACTGTTAGAACTATGGACTGAGGTGGGTGACCTGTGCATAACCATAACTTTGGCTTTACATGGAGACAATAAAAACCCTGTTCTGCTACCCTCATAGTCAAATTGTAAATGGTCAAGCCAAAATAACTTCCAAGTTGCCCTTTAACCTGGCTTCTCACAGAACAGTGGTTTAGGCTCTCATGCAGAAACAAGTGGCAATTATAAATGATTTATTTTATGTTTAATAAAATAATGTTCAATCTTTTCAGCAAGGGAAACACTAGATTTGAACAGCTAATGTTGTCTCCACTGTGTTTCCAAATGATATCCAACAGTCATACTCAGAGTACGACAAATTTGGAGATCACCTACTGTTTGCACTTACATTCTCCACTAAGAATAGGCAAATATGTCAACTTTGGTTCTCCACAGTTTCTCATATGTTCCCATCTTAAATTCAGTTCTCCACATTTCCATATCAGTTTGAGATTTGTTTTAAGTCCTCATAAAAATTCACCAGCATTTTTGTGCAAATTTATCCTAATATACACATTCTTGTATGCCATTTCCCCTAATGTGCACATTTTAGCAAAGCAATCTTCCCGAACATAATGCATTTGGCATGTTACTTTCACTAATATATGCATTCATAAAAGGGAGTGGGTGGCGCTATGGTCTAAACCGCTGAGCCTCTTGGGCTTGCTGATTGGAAGGTCAGCAGTTTGAATCCGTGTGACGGGGTGAGCTTCTGTTGCTCTGTTCCAGCTTCTGCCAACCTAGCAGTTCGGAAGCATACCAAATGGAGTAGATAAATAGGTATCACTGTGGTGGGAAGGTAAATGGTATTTTCATGCTCTCTGCCACCCATCACAGTATTCCGTTGCACCAGTAGCAGTTTCATCCTGCTGGCCACATGACCCGAAAAGCTGTCTGCAGACAAACACCAGCTCCCTCGGCCTGAAGCAAGATGAGCACCGCACCCCATGGTTGCGTTTCACTGGACTTAACTCTCCAGGGTTCCTTTACCTTTTACCTATATGCATTCATATGCAGATTAAAGCACACAAAGATGAAAACATAATGTAAAAGCCTATTTTGGCATTAAGTAGTATCTCAATTAAATAACAACAATAAGAGCAGTTATAATGCAGGGGGCAATAAGAGCATCATGCCCAAGCCAAAAAAATCTGGACTCAACACAGGTCAAATAAAAAATCCCAAAGCAACTTTAACTGGGTTGCCATGGCCCTACCAAATTTTAATCATGATGTGGGAAGAAATTCTGCTGCACCACACATAGAATTGTAGGAAGGAATGCAAAGGGTCATCCATCTAGCCCAACCCCTTGCAATGCTGGAATCCCAACACTTCCAATTTGAAACCAAACCGGGCCCTGCTTGGCTTTGCTATATTCTGAACCATTCAGAAGAGAAACAATGAGTCTTCATGTGTATTTCATATAAAAGTGCTAGGGAATGGCACCTTTAATATGAAGCTTGACAAATCTATGAGTGAATTGTTCTCGCCCCCAGCTATCTTGTAAATGGGATGACCACTGAAAAAGTGTCAATATTGAAGCTGACTAACTGACTAAAACATTAAAAATGACCAAATATATGACAATGTTTAGGCCTTGGGACTTGACTACCTCAGATGAGCTTTGCAATAGAGTTTGAGCCTCAGGAATCTCTGGATAGGCAAAGCTTGTCTTCTTTGGCCTGCAGTGTTGGCAAGGAAGAAAGCAGGAAGTATATTTTTCCTTGGAGGGTGTAGGGAGGAGGACTGATTATGTGATAGCTAGAGAGGGGGGTTGTTTTCCTAAAGCCAGGGTTCAAATACTCCTGAAAGATAAATGTGTTGGCTGGGTCTAGAGGAAACACACCCCTTGCACTATCAAATCCACAGGACAGCTTTTAATTTTACTATGACAAATTCTAGAGAGTAGGCTGGTTTTGTCTGCAGCAGCAGAAACCAGAGAGCCTCGACTCTTGTGGCACCTCAAAGACAAAATAATATTGTGGCAAAACTTTGTTCTCCGATATATTTGTTAGTCTTTAAGGCTGGTTTTTTTAGTCACTTGTGGTTCTTTCTGTTTTACTGTGTGATAATTTTCATATTTTCTTTCTTTCTCTGATCACAAGGGAGCAGTCAGTCCTTTCAAAATATGTTTCCTTTACATAGTCAGTATCTATGCCTTTGGAAACACCCTTTGAAAACAGGCAATTTGTATAGCTGAAGAGAATATATACTGAAATATTTGATTAACTGTGTAAAAATATCTGGGGCTTAGGTTGACAGACTCGTTTCATCAGGTTCCTGAGCTTTCCTCAAAATGTTCACGGATATTTCTAGTAGAAAGCGGATTTAAATAACTTTTTGTGGTTTCCTTTCAAGGAGGGGAAATGGGATACTTAATACAACTGTCAAAGCTGTAAGTGCTTTTCATATATTCTAGACTCTTATTAAAGGCAAGAGGTCACATACTAGACTCACTCATATGAGGCAAGAGCTAACAGACTTGCCTTTTAAGTTAAATGGGATGGCAAATGTGTCAGCCCTGAAACAAAAGACTGGCAAAAGGATGTGTTTTCCAACTTTTCCATTTCACCATTTGAATCTCATGGCAGTCTGCAGGGGTGGACTTTGGTGTTTCAAATTTCAGCGGGGCCCTGTTGCACCCACCTACCCACCCACCCACCCAGCCTCTTGCCTTCCATTCTGCTCAGTTAACTACATCATAGTTGTGACACCCTGCAACACCCTCCTAGGCTTGGCACCCAGTGCGGCAGAACCAATTGTGTTGCCTTAAATCCGCCTCTGCAGTCTGCTTGCTGCTAGACTGACAGTGCAAGGACACACAATATATTTATGAAAGTCATCACCAATCATGGAGGCAGAAGCAACACTGCATAAAAAGACCGACACTTTCAAAACCAGCTTTGGGGTTTGGGGGTGTAAGACAAGTAACAGCGCTGAAAAATTAATCAAGTCCAAATTTGGAAAGTAAAGTCAAATGCCCTGGAATTTCCTTGCAGCCTCTGGCATAACTCCACCCACTCTCTCTCTCTGGCAAGATGAAGGCACTGGATTTTGTACATTCATTAATGCTGAATTTGTCAGAGTAGATTGCATAGCTGTCAACTTACAGATTTGAAAATAAGGGACCAGCAGCCTTGAAAACAAGGGACCAGCAGCCAAAATAAGGGACCTGCAGCCTCACCTGTTCCAGGCACTCCAGTCTTCCTGTCCTCCTGCAGTGTGGTCAAACTCATGCTGGTAGCTTCGAGAACACTGTCCAACCAACTTTGTAACCAGAGGTTCAACTGAATAGAATCTGAATCACATGCACCACAAGGCCTATGCAGCCTCAACTTAAGATGGCTCCCCGGCCTGGCTTTGCACTGCAAAGTTTGCAACAGCACATGCAACAAAATGGCGTCCAGCATTCAAAAAACCTCTCAGCTTGCATTAACTAGCCACACACAAGGCATGCAAGCTCCACCCCCCCAGTCGTTCTTAGACTTCTTATTGGGTGAGCAACACAGCCAAGCAACACAGTTGGAGCCTCCCTCCTCCCTGGCCGGCAGGGAGGGAGGGAGAGGAGCTGCTTCCTTTGAAATTTAAGGGACATCATTTAAGGGACATTTAAGGGACATCCATCAATAAGGGACAGCAGCAGGACATGGCGCTGGAATAAGGGACTGTCCCTTCAAATAAGGGACACTTGACAGCTATGAGATTGCTAGTGGTCATGTTGCAGCTATTATTCTGCAGTTTAATTCTGCAACACAATGGAACATTCAGGCAAGGATCGCTTCCCTCCTACCTCCACCCTGGCCAGTCACACTCACACCACTGCATGCTGGTTATTACATCCTATGGAAGGTCATATGCATCTCCCATATGTACACTGAATCAGCGTATTCTTCTCCAGGGCTCCAAAAGTAACATACTGATAAGCACAAGTAACCTGGAGGAGCAGTCCTGGGGAGGTGCTGGGCTCTGGATGTACAAATGGGATGCAGAAATATAAAAGGAAAGTAGGTTGGCGCCCCTCTTCATAAGTCTGGAAAAGGTTTAGGGGCTCATATAATAAGGCATTGCCACTTACTGTATGGCATCTAACCATTTTATGTTTTATATTAACTGTTTTAATGCTGTCTTTTAAAATTGTATTTTGAATTATGTGGTTTTATTGTTTTTATTATGTGTTGTATGTCACCCAGAGGATATTAATTGTTAGATGACTAATAAATATAGGAATAAATACATAAATAAATAAACATGGATGCCCCATTGCAGGTAATGGCCAGTGTGCTGAGGTACATGCTTGAATAGCCTTTGTTCAGTGGAGGAGTGAGGGGAACAAAGTACATTTCCATGGTGTAAAAGAGCAGAGTCCAATGAGGATTTTTTTATATATATAAAAAGCAGAGGTCTTTCTACTGCTTTGCTTAAAATAGATGGTACCACACCTTCCATAACAGATGCATTCAACTCCAGCCACCCAATCAGTCAGGCCTCCTTCATTGGCTTTCACCAGCCAGAACAGACAAGGATCAAGAGGGCATGTGGTTGGTCTCTAACCTCCAAGCAAACATACACATTAAAAGATGACAAGCAGATGTTACGGTCACAACCACCGATCCTGCTCTAAATGTGGAGTCTAAGTAAGGGAATATGAGTGACTTTACCAACAAAGTGTTTTGCAGATTGATCACAGCTGGCATCCAAAGGTTCCTCCTCACTACACAAGATGTTCAAATATAAGACCTCCTAAATAAAATCTCTGTTGGCCAGCACTGTGCTAATGCAACATTGGCAGCGAAGTAGATGAGTGTTGTGGGGTAGTTCCCAAAATGAGCTCTAGCCCATTCTCAGTCAGATTCATTGCAAGTCTTCCTCCAGCTTTGCTCTAACTCTTTCCAGTTGCTTCATCACCCCCGGTTCCTCAAGAATCCAAGAAGCTTGAGCACTTCCTGATGGGAGAGAGGTTTGGGGAGGGGAGTGATTATGTCAACCATTTGTGCCATTTTTCTATTCCAGAGATCAACCAGCATCTTGCTGGTGACGAATGATTGTTTTTCTGGTACTTTTTAGAGGGATACAGAGTGCAAAGATTTGTGAGGACTGGTGTAGTGTAGTGGTTAAAGTGTGAGCTGTGAATCAAAAAACCTGGCCTTGCAACCTCAACCTTATGCATGGTGGTCACCCTTACAGGGCAGTTGGATGGATTACTGGGAGAACAGGAATTGAGGTAGCCCAAAATTGCTTATACATATCAACGAGCATGTGCAAATTTTTTACTGAACACTGTATCCTTTGGCCCCAGGAACCTAGTCTTTTAAATACCTAGCAATGCCTTAAATGGACTGACTAAAGAAAAAGTCTGTGGGGCTTTGAGAGTTGCATCTCGCTCAGAGATGCCATCATAACCATTACACAAGTTAGTCCTTTTGCCCATTAATCCTGATTTTAATGTTATACTAGTGGGAGATCCAAAAGGCAGTAGAAATCACCCGGGTTAGGTGTTATTGTTTTCACTTATAGCAGCTGGCTTGTTTTCATTCTTTGCTGGATCCATGGCATGCCTCTAAGATATACCCAGACCCTTCAACTTTCTTGAAAGTCACGGCCAAATGAGCAGGTGGTATTGTCCTTCCAGGGGGTGGCTGGGTCCTCTCAGGGATCATGCCTCACATCAGTTCTCTAATGCTCCTTCAGCAGCAGCAAATAATGACGCTCGATTGACTACCTGACGAAAGAGATAACCTTTCTCTTTTTATTATTATTAGATGTATAACCTCTTGTTGACCTCAGTTAAAAATGTTGAACTGAGTTTTTAAACCCTCTTTAACCACCAGACCATAATGAACCACTGCTCCAAAAGTCATGAATGCTCAAGTTCAGGGGACTGTTTAAGTATAACAGTCTGATTAGAAAGACTGATGAATTTATGATGATCTATGAGGGAAAGGTCAAAGATCAAGTTACCATTTTCTCCTCATAGATTTGATGGACCATGACAAATACATTCGCCAGACTTCAGTATTCTATCTCAATGGAGAAATGGAAATTAATTGCATCCGTCCATCAGTCACCCCCTAACAACATCTGCGTTGCATTATAGGTTTTAGAACTGGAGGTGAACCACAATCAGAGAGCTTTAAATCAGAAACCTCTGGAATTGGCAGAAAGGCTAGGTCACATTCTCATTCATGTGTTTAAGCTTACTTGTGTGATCCTCTCAGTTCTTATCCACAATCTGAGAGACAGAGAGAGAGCATCATTGTCTTGTTGCTGATTGGATGCAGCTGAACTATTATGAGAAGAATTCTTCTTCTGACAATTTGGTTTCCAGTGATGGAAAAAATATAAATGATGAGTCATTTTAATTAAATGGCCAATATCTTTGGCTCACATTGAAACAAGACATGCTGTATGATTTTGACACCTCCCATTTTGAACCTAAACTGAAGCTAGAAGACTGTTCCAGCTCATTCAACCATTACTGCAAAGAAAATAGTTGGCATGTATGGAGAAATTTAGTTGTTATATGGGATCTCACATCCCAGAAGCCACATTGTGGGAAAGTAGAAACAGAACAACAATCCACAATTAAATAATGGACCTCCATTCATTATGAGCTGGTTCACACCTGTATGCTCATCGCTGGATGACTACAACATCAGGTGATGCCTTGTCACATCACATTGCTTCGAATATAAAAGTATTTTATTAGAATCAGTCAACGAAGTCAGACTGGATTAAGAGGTAGACCCCCCTCCCCAAGATGCATTCTTTGTGGCCTAGTGGGATGAAGAAAAATGCCTACACTTGATCCTGATGCCCCCATCCTTTCCACAAGGTTAGTAGGGACCTTCACAGCAACAGGACTCTGGAGAAAAAGTAAACCTAAGACACAGGCGCAAATATTGGCAGGGCACTGCTTTGTTCTTGATCGGGAATTCACTTTCCACTTTTTTTCATTTTTAAATGCTCATATGAGGATTTATGTGGAATTGCAAGTAAATGTTCAACCTTTACAGAATAAAATGAAATATACATTTTATTTTTGTTTTTGTTTTTTTAAAATTTAAATATATAGACATCTCAGGAATTGGGAAGGGAAAATAAAATACCCCTACAAGATACATATATCTTGAACTAAAGTTCTTGTGTTAGGGAAAATTCGTATTTTACCATTCACCACAAATGCTGCAAATTTCCTTGTATCAGAAGAGGAAATTAGAAATGCCCTTGATATCCCCCTCAAAACTATACATGCCTTTATCATCTCCAGCAATTTAACTCAGCAATGCTGTTACATCCTGAGCCACGCAGTAAATCCTGTAATGCCTGCGTCTTGCTATTCATTAAGATGTTCAGATCAAAGGCGTTTCTGAGGTTCATCTTCTTTATATCACCCTCTATAAAATTAAGGATAATGTGGAAGGGAGGTAGATACAGTCATTTAATATAAAGGAACTCTCACTGGCAGGCAATAGAATGTATTTCTGGAATAATGTTACCTGTTATGAGTATTGAAGGCTGAGCTGAAGTGCAAGCGTAGCTGCTCATATAGAATAATATTCTCCTTAACACCATGCGCATGAATGCAGCTTCTGGGCAACATTTTTCAATCTGATGCATATGGGGAGCTCCCAGCTTCCCTCTTCAGGGAAATAATGTATGTAGTGTAGTATGTAATGTTGTTGTTGTTTAGTTGTTTAGTCGTGTCCGACTCTTCGTGACCCCATGAGCACGCCAGGCACTCCTGTCTTCCACTGCCTCCCACAGTTTGGTCAAACTCATGCTGGTAGCTTTGAGAACACTATCCAACCATCTCATCCTCTGACATCCCCTTCTCCTTGTGCCCTCCATCTTTCCCAACATCAGGGTCTTTTCCAGGGAGTCTTCTCTTCTCATGAGGTGGCCAAAGTATTGGAGTCTCAGCTTCAGGATCTGTCCTTCCAGTGAGCACTCAGGGCTGATTTCCTTATGAATGGATAGGTTTGATCTTCTTGCAGTCCATGGGACTCTCAAGAGTCTCCTCCAGCACTATAATTCAAAAGCATCAATTCTTCGGCGATCAGCCTTCTTTATGGCCCAGCTCTCACTTCCATACATCACTACTGGGGAAACCATAGCTTTAACTATGTATGTAATAGGCTAACTTAATTTAAAACACATCTGTACATACAAAGTTTTAGAAACTTTTATTTAAAAAATGAAGAAGAAAAGAAGTCACTGGGATCAGGCTGGGCCACTCCTTTAGGAATGTGCAGGGAACAAAGACAGCCAAATAGAGGAAGATCTGGAGGACACAACTGGAATGCCTGCAGAGTGCCCAGAGTATGAGAGAGCAGTGCTGGGTTTGCATTGTCATTAAAGAAGGTTCCTCCTGGTATTTAGGCCCAGTGTAACAGGTGTCTATTTTGTGTGCTGATATTTACGGGGTATTAGTTAGCGGTTACAATAGGTCTCTCTCATAAAGTCCTGCAGCAAAGCATCCTATCAGTGGAAAATTTGAAAACTATCTTCCATGTGCTATGTTATGCAGGACAAATGCATTCCACAACCCCCAGAGACACAATTACTTTCAGAAATTTGGGAGTATGTTAATTGATAACGAGATAGCTATGACAAACAGTTAGGATGAATGCTAATTAAAATATCAACCACCCTAAAGCTGACGTTTATTTATTAGGAAGGGAGAGATGTATTCCTTGGTGCACTTCCGCTTCCTCTCATCTCCCTGCATGCTCTCAAAATCTGTTCTTTAGGATCCCCCAATCCTCTGGAGCAGATTTTGAGGGTGCATAGAGGGTTTCAGGGGACAGGAGAGGAGGAGGAAGTTCTGTTGCGTGAGCAGAACGGCAGCATGTGATAGATGCTTTAGTCTTTTCATAATAAAACTAATTTGATGTGGCATTTAACATCCACATTCAGCTTGTATTTTAAAGATGAAGCACTCTCTTTTTCTTACATGATATTTTGGGATTCTCTTTTTCTTCTTAACCATTTAATCTGGGTTAAGACAGTTGTTCCTGTGGATTTTTTTAGGGTCTCTAATTCTTCCATGTAATTGGCTCTTCACAGTCCTGTTCAACATATTTGTGAGATACTTAAACATACAGAAAGGACTTTCTTCTAACCAAGCTCGCATCCACCCAAGATGACTTTTATCTCCGATAACCACTAATTAGCACAACTGATTTTAGAACAGCCACAGATCCATCCCTCAAATAGTCAGCTTGCTGTCTCTTGGAGCCTGTGATACTCCACCTAAAAGGCAGATGAGAATGGCTACCACTGTCTTCCAAATCCCCATGATTAGCAGAAGGATAAATTTGTCCATTATATTTTTTGTGTGCCAAAGAATGCCTTTCGAAGTACCAAAGCACAAGCATGCCATTATTTTATTAAGACAACCTAAAAAGTTTCTGTGGATCTCTAGGGCTATGTACACATTTCTGGCCCAAAACACAGTTCCTTGTCTCAAGTCTCAATTCAGTTCAAAGTTGGCTTGGAGGGGAAATACATCAGAACATAGAATTTCATGTGTGAGAAACAACAGGACAGATATGGATTGTGGCTAACATCATGTGTACACCGCTTCCCAATCCGGCAGCGGGAGCACATTGAATGCAGAGGAAACAGGAGTATGTAAACAGCCTTTGCCTTAGTTTGTATGCACTTAGCAGGCTATATGTGAAGTGAGTGCTCTATGAGAAGGCATGATTTTGGGACGAGAAAGATCACACAAATTTGGTTAACACATCTGTGCAGTCAGTCCACCACGTGCCATATGTACCTGGTGGAGGGAAGGTAATGTACCTGCTCCTACAACACATAAAGAGCATCAACACTAATTGTCTGGTAAAAAAAACAGACATAAGATGTCCATGCATCATTGGATACTCCTTGGCTCTTGGGATGAATGTAATCCCACTAGGAGCTTTGGTGATTGAACTTCATCATGGCTGCCTCACCACCACCCCCATAGGACTTAGTTAACTTATTTTTTAATTGCTTCCCCCACCATGCCACAGGATCTGCAGTGTGGACTCTCTTCTCTTCTGAGTGCAAGCCACTGTAGGTTTTAGTTGTGCCAGCTGTCATGTGTTGGTTCCTCCAGCCCCTGCAATTCTTTCTGGCATTACAGAGCTCCTTTTGAACTAATTTTCCCTATATATATGTTTTTAAAAGACTTGAGATCTAGTTTTGGGAGGAAAGTTGAGTAAACAAATAAAATAAATAAAATATGATGTCACATGATGATTCAAACCAGTGGTTCCCAAACTCTCCCCCTCCCCACCCCCACAATGGGTGACTTGAAAATTACTGATAGCCTTGGCAGAGCACTCAGTGATTTTTCTGATTGTTGTAGCAATCTCAATGACTGTGTTAGATACTGTATTTTTGAATTTTTATTGCTTCTTTTGTTTCTTATATTGTATTTTATTGTATTAAAATTGGCATTCCATAGAATTCAAATAGTAATTGGTTGAAATCCAGCAAAGCTAAGCAATGGCGACATTCAAAGTTAGGAGTTTTCACTGAAGTTCCAATGCAGTGGCATGTACTAAGGAGCCAAGCCACTTAAAAATTAAAATGGAAAAGTGCCACTTCAGTACATGGTGGAATTTAAAAACAACAACATCCAGCTCATCAAATTTTTCTTTGGTTATTTTCACTGAAAGTGCACCTGGGCTTGCCTGCTTGTCCCTGGGTCAAAGGTTAGGATTAGCCAATTGCAGTAATATTTGTGAGTAGCTGCACTCTTTATATATTGCTTAAAACACTTAACTGACATAGAAGTATTTAAGATTAAATCAGGACTTTCCCTCAGCTTGATCAGATCTGCCGTAGGATCACAATTCCAGCAGCTGTTACTTTGGCCCCATGAAAAAACCAAACACACAAACTTAGAAAAGGGGAACACTAGAGGTCTCAACTTTGCCCATTAGCTTAACTCCATGGGAGACCACACTGTGCAACCCATATGTTTTCTAACTTTTTCCATACACCATCCTGATCTCCCACTGCATCCCTACCTGGCCCAGCCTGACCCACACAGCTGTGATGCTTAGGGAAGCGGGGCAAAGACTGTGTCGCCTCAGAGGAAATTTGCTGGGTGGTCTCTTCTGTACTACACATGTTGCCTGGAGCAATATCAAATCATAATAAACAAGTCCCACACACAACCCCCTGTCAGTTCAGATTCCATTTAGACTGATATAATCTTCATTTTCACTTTGAAAGGCGGGAGGAAGCAGGAGAGAAGATAGACCTCCTTCCAGGGAGAGAGAAAAGGCGCATGACATGCGAGTAATATTCTTGCTGGCAAAGTGACTTACCAAGTGTATGTATACAAACGTGCTACTCATCAGACTTTTTGCCCCCTGTGTTGCACTTCCTCCTGCTATCCTCATGATTCCATGGGGAATATACTTATTTAATTACCTTGTCCTGATTGAGCTGACTGGTGCCAAAGCAGCACAGCAATGACATCATGAAAAGAAGAGAGGGCAACCCCTTTTGCAGTCTTATTAGAACAAGAAAATCAGTATGAATGAATTACATGAAAATATTTTGATTTATGCCACTCTCTCAAGAGCACATATGGGAATAAGACCAAAGATATAACATGTGTGGCATGAATCGCATAACATATGTGCAAGAAAGATTTGTGGGTGTGCATTACGACAGAGCCTTCCTTTCTCCACAAAGGCCCAGGAGTGCCATAGAGTGTGTTCTGGTGGACAGATCTGTGGTCAGGGCACTGCTAGCAATTGTGCACAAAATTCTGCAAGTGCGGCACTATGCCCCTTTTTCGAATAAGCCTCAAATATTTCAAACACCCAAACAGGTGAAAAGTACAGTGGACCTGGATGAAGAGATTCACCCTTCTGGTTTTGCAATATGGAATCCAAGTATAATATACAACTAGCAGCAGACAGAGCTCTAGCTAAGTGGTTTCCAAACATTTTATTAGAAGAACCCAGCAATGCAGCTTTATCTAGTTTGGGACCCTCCACTCAGTCATATTCCTCTGCTCGGTGATTCTGAGTTATAAGCCTCCAGGTGTACTGGAGGTGAACTCTGCTCTGCCAGTTACCTGACAGCCTTCCTGTTTTTGTAGTCCCCAATAGGCCACTACAGCAGGGAGATTAACCACAGGACGGCCTAACACAAAGCAAAAGGCTGTAGCTCTGTGGTAGAGCATCTGCTTTGCCCACAGAAGGTCCCAGGTTCAATCCCCGGCATCTCCAAGCAAGGCTGGAAAAAAGCCCTGTCTGAAATCCTGGAGAACTGCTGCCAATCTGTGTAGACAATACTGCGATAGATGGCCCAATAGTCTGACTCATTGTGAGGTGGTTTCCAATGTTCCTACTACAAGCCTGTGCAAACTTTGGTGGGATAGCAATGCACATCTGATGGGCTGCATTCAGCTTGGTGGGTGAATTTTCAAGTGTTTCCAAGGCAAAAACAGAAGGCTTTGGGGGTCTATAAAGAGCCAGGGAGGCTGCACCTGAGGACTCAAGTTAAATTTCTTGTAAAAATATGAGTTAATGCTGAGAGGCAATGTAAGTTGAAAAATTCAACACACCGTATTGTGGCAACATTGGGCTGGCCACTGTTGGAAAGACGATACTGGACAATGTGGACTTTTGGTCTGACCCAACTAAGTCTTAAACTGTGCAGACTAGTCCCAGACTCTTGAGTCTAAAATGCTAAATAAGTGCACTAGCTTCCAATTAGCTACTGGGCTAATTTCAACGTGCTGGTACTGGTGTGCAACACCCTATAAAGCTTGGAACCAGGACACCTAAAAGATTGTCTCACCCAACCAAGAACTGTGCTTTATACCTCTTGCAGATACCATGTCAATAGGAGATCTATTCCGTATGATGTAGGAATTGGACCTTTAGAGTGTGGCACCAACCCTTTGGAGCTCCTTCCCCTCACGTGTTAGACAGGCACAGTCTCTATTGTCTTCAGCACTCATTGAAGCCTTTTAAGTGGATATTTTTACCCCAGTCTGTAATATATGTTGGATTAACATTTGCTTCTATATGCATCCTTCTTGTTTTAATTGTTAATCGCTTTGGGATGCTTTATGAGGAATGATTCATAGGTGAAATTAAATCAAACACATAAATAATGGAATTGCTAAAACTCTGGTGCTTAAACCCCCCAGTCTTTTGTATATTGAGATGCTGCAGAGCTCGCAGGTTTGTATACAGAGTTGATATTTAACTGAAACAGACACAGACACAGTATGGAGGGTCAAGTCATCTCCTGGCAATCAGGCATGTCTGGTTCTGGTTCTCTTCATTTGCTTTACACATGACTGGGCAGGCTGAGAATGTTCATAGCCTGCTTGTTACATCTTCACACTCCAGTTATTAGCTTCCTTGCACTAAAGTTCTGTTCAAAAGGCACAGGGAATGAATGTGCAGACATAAGAAGAGCCTGCCAGATGAGGCCAGTGGCCCATCTAGTCTAGCATCCTGTTCTCACAAAGGACAACCAGATGCCCATGGGAAGCCCCAAAGCAAGACCGGAGCACAACAGCACTTTGCTTGCTTGTGATTCCCAGCAACTGCCTCCGAAAGTGGAGCTAGAATATAGCCACCATGGCAAGACACAAGTATTATTGGTTAGCAGAAATGTGAATGGGGATTGGAACCTTTTCTGGATGGGGCTGCACTCACACTGAAGAGCTAGGTTCAAAGGTAAGGGTGCTCCTGAACCCGCCTTGCTCCTAGATGGCTAGGTGGCTGCTGTGGCTAGGAGTGCTTTTGTCAGCTTGAACCAGTATACCAACTGCATCTGTTCCTGGAGAAAGCATATCTCCCCTTAGTCAAATCCATCTTAGGTTAGTGCAATGCACTGTACACAGAGCTCCTCTTGAAAAGTGTTCTAAAACTACAGTTGGTGTAAATATGCAATAGCCACAATAATTTCTGGTTCCTGTTTTTCTGACCATATTGCTCTGGTCTTGTTTTCATTTACATTAGTTTCCAATTCATTTCTGGGCCAAATTCAAGCTGCTGATTTTATTTTATTTTACCTATATAAAGCCCTACATGGCTCAGAACCTTCTCTTCCAACATGAACCTGTCCATCAGTTGTAGTCCTCCTCTCTGCACCCCACTAAGAAGGTAGGTACAGTTGGTAGGATGTGGGGCAGGGCCCTTTTGATCACAGTACCCTGTGGAACTTCCTCCTAAGGGGAGCTGAATTGGTCCCTTCTCTGGTGTCCTTTGGGTGGGTGGTTATATTCCAGTTGAATCACTGAGATCATCTGCAGAAGCATCATTAGTTGTTCCATGAGTTGGCAAGGTTCATTTGACAACAACAAGAAACCAAGTTTTTAGTGTTGTCAGCTCACAACTGCCACCTGATTTCTGATTTTAACTTTTTTATTGTATGGTTTAAATGTACGATTGTTGTAAACTGCTCTGGTTTTCTTTTTATGACTTAAAAATGTAAAGGGACCCCTGACCATTAGGTCCAGTCGTGGACGGCTCTGGGGTTGCGCGCTCATCTCGCTCTATAGGCTGAGGGAGCCAGCTTTTGTCCACAGACGGCTTCTGGGTCATGTGGCCAGCATGACTAAGCCACTTCTGGAGAACCAGAGCAGTGCACGGAAACGCCGTTTACCTTCCCACCAGAGCGGTACCTATTTATCTACTTGCACTTTGACGTGCTTTCAAACTGCTAGGTGGGCAGGAGCTAGGACCAAACAATGGGAGCTTACCCCATCAAGGGAATCGAACCACCGACCTTCTGATCGGCAAGCCCTAGGCTCTGTGGTTTAGACCACAGTGCCACTTAGCAGTATATAAATAGTTTTATAAATAAATCAAAAATTGCCAGCATTTTAGTGCGCATTTCCCCTAATATATACATTTTTAGCAAGCAATTCCCCCTCCAGTCTAATGCATTTCAGTATGATAATGAGTATCTGCACTTTATATACATTTCCCCCTAATATACACATACTCGTACACAACTACAAGAAAACTGCATTGCAAACTTTGAAGGAGAGCTGCATTTTGGTTCATTTATTGTTTCAGAAAGTACAAATTCGGTAATTTTCGCAAAAAAAACCCCTGCATTTCTCCCACTATCCCACTTGGTGGGCCTCAGGATCCTAATAAAATACAAAGTAGATTCTATAAGGCTGAAGTCTGCCCTTCCTATGTTTAATTACTTTCTCAGAGCCACATCAAGGCGACCATTTTACCACACATTGTGCCACATGTTTTACTACACAGCTGCACCTGACATGTAAAATCCTCCTTACCACTTGGAAGGATGATACAGTTGACTAAACTTGGCACACTAGCTTGTTTCTTTGTATGGGCTCTCAATGAAAAAGAGAGCAGGAGTTTAATAGCATGATGTCGGCTTGCTAAAATTAAGCACCTGTGAGAATGAAGATAGCACATGTCATTTGAATTTCACACAGTTGTGGAAGGCTGTTACTTTCAGAAATTCTTCTTCCACAGCCATGCAAAGACATACAAAAATGGGAAGTGGTTCCTTTAACTGAGGGGAAAGAAGTGAGTTCTTCTGTTTTGCTTAATAATCATACCTTTTGCTTAATAATGTGGAGCACCAACCCAGTAAAAAGAGAACCCGTGTTTACCTCAGGGTGAAGGCAACAGCTTAATCATTAATTGCTGCTAGTTTTAAACGTCAAAACCCAACCCAACCTCAGAAGTATTGCCTGGTCTTCAGTGACTGTCGCTGATGGGAAACTCATTGGAGCATATATTTGGAGGGGAAGAAGGTTAAGATGATTAACTGGTGCTAACAAGTTTAGGATGTGGAAGAAGTATTTTCTTGGACGTCCATCAAAGAGGGGATTGAATGTTCCGAAGCACAGTGGTGGGAGGGGTAGGAATGGAGGAGGCTGGGGGTGTTATGTGTTTACCAGATGATATTTCTCAACCAGCTTTGCCTCCTTAGCTGTCCTTCCCAGCAGGCGCAGCAGAACTCCTCTTTCTGCGCCTAACCCCCTCCCTCCCACCCTAGACCTAACAGAGAGAGAGAGAGAGTGCCCCAGTTAAAGATGTGTCCTGGCAGCTGGGCAGAAAAATGATCCAGGAGGAAGAGGGCAACGTCACCGCTCTTCCTGTTGATCAGTGCATTAAGGACACCCTTTAGATACCGGTCCCAGCAGATCTTCAGCCTCTTCTGTCTCCAAAGGCTGCACTAAAGGCTGGCCAAAAAGACTGATCCGAGCAGCTGAAAGTAAATCTGTCTTAATCCAGCAGCTAAATGCTTCCTAGTGAAATAACTACCGATCCTTGTCAGAGACAGGAGCTTTGCTGCATTGATTGTAGGTAGCAAGGCAAGAAGTAAATTTGGGCTGGGGCGAGTTGGGTGGGGGGAATGGCAAAGTATTCATTTTCCTCATAGGATGGAGACAGCAGGACTAGGGCAGATTGGCACACACTGCCAAGAGTCAGCTTTGGCGGCCAATCATGTAGAGTTTGGTAGGTCCTTCATCTTAACTAGATTTGCTGGGTTGGAAGCACTGCAAAGAGAATGCCATCTCAGTGGTGCTTCAGATTGTTTTCACTCCCCGATCCTTGCATGGCAGGAAGTTCTAAGGCAGCTTAATGGAGGTGGCTTCCTGTGGAGGTAAGGAATAGTGGGTATCTCAAGGGGGTTTTATAGGGCTGTGCCAAATATTCTCCGCTTTTGGTTTGAAGGCAAAAAACAGTAGTTACTAAGAAATAGAACTATTTCCTGAAAAGCACACTGTGAAAATATTCATGTTTTCGCAATTGTGAAGTGTGACACCACTACTTTGGTGTCATTTCCCCGCCCCCCTGGTTGCTGCTCCTTTCTTCTCCCTGGACTGATCAAATGAACAAGCCAAGCCAAACAGGAAGAGCAGGGGTCAGCAAACTTTTCCCCTCAGACCTTGTGAGGGGCCTGACTATATTTTTTTGGGGGGGAGGTGAACAAATTCCTATGCCTCACAAATAACTCAGAGATGCATTTTAAATAAAAGCACACATTCTACTCATGTAAAAACACCAGGCAGGCCCCACAAATAACCCAGAGATGCATTTTAAATAAAAGGACACATTCTACTCATGTAAAAACACGCTGATTCCCGAACCGTCTGTGGGCCGGATTTAGAAGGCGATTGGGCTGGATCTGGCCCCCAGGCCTTAGTTTGCCTACCCATGAGGAAGAGCCTGGTGAATGGGATGCCATTGCAACACTACGTGGCTAACCAGAA